AATTTCATCTTACACACAGACAAACAAATATCCTCTATATAAGATGTCAAAATGACATGCATACTTAACAATAATAACTCCAAAATACAAAAAAATTTAACTTACGCGATGTATAGAGAATATAGTTTAATAATTATAATGATGTTATTATACATTGTTGAGAGAATTTTATTGGACAAGTACGCAGCTGACAAGCCTATATTGGACGAGGGACTAGTCTTTGATACTTTGAGTACAGTTAGAATTTTATATAAATTATTTGGTAAGGTGACTTGACGTAGTACAATAGTGAAATATTTTGGGACTTTTGGATTAAAAAATGATAACGGGGCTAAACGGAATACGATAGCGATTTGATATGGAATTTTTGGATTGGAAAAATCAAAACGAGGCTAAATTCATCAGATTAAATCCATTTATGATGTATATTGGATGAAGGCGCAAACGCTGGAAGTCTATTCCACAAGATAACATTTTATAAGGTGTTCAATAAAACGTTTTATCATTTATTAACTTTATAAGCCAATTTGATAACATTTTACGGTTTATCGCTTGTACTAAAATACTCACTTTAATTATATCACTGCGCAACTGAGCTCGGATCAAGCAAATATGAAAAAATATTAAAAAGTGACATATATTTCCTAAGTAATGAAATATTACTGTTGGAATATAAAAGTAATAGGTAACAAAGATCGAGATATAAATATAAGATAAACTGTCAAAACTAACATTAACAAATATACAAATAATGTAAATATGTTGGAAAAAACAGCTATTAGAGAGAGGTGATCCAATGCTTTATGAAGGTAATTATATGTATAAAAATGTGAATAAAAACCGCAAAAACATTCACTGTAAGTACGGTACTGAAATAATATTCATTTAATACCTAAATTTTCTTTCAAAATGTTTCCGCATCATCAGTAAATACAAAGGTTTCTATGAATAGACGTAATTTTCTGGTACGTGAGTTTTGTATTAGGTTTTCTAATGTCAATACCTCAACATTATGTCAATATGTTTAACATATGCACTCTAACTCTTCCATTCTTCATTTTGATTTGAGAGGATGTCATAAGAAAGAAGCGGAATTAAGGTTGATGTTTAAACAGATTATGGTGACTATATTTTCTGTCTATATTTTTTTAATTAATTTTAAGTTTTAGATACTGTAACAATAAAAGCATACATCACAAGTTGTCAAAATAGAGTTTATAATCTGGATTTACGAACAAATTGTTTTACATCGGTGCATTTTTAAAATTATTTCTTTAATGTTTAACATATTTTATATAAAAAAACAAAAACAAAAAAACAACATAAAATCTTTCTTTTTCATGGCATGTTTACTTTTTTTATAAAGTTATATAATTGTTGTAATAAAGAGATATATAAAGGTGCCAAACATGTTATAAATCGGTAATAAAATCTTATTCCTTTAACCTTTACAAACCACATGTCAATGACTTTTTACGCGTTTGAATCTATTCAGTAAACAACAAATAGTAATTATTGAGTTCATAATTCATAGTTACTTTTTGTTTAATCATCGACAGCTATATGTGAGGTAATGTTATATCTATCATAAATGCATACACAGTAATGTAATGGATTAGATGCAATAAAGCTCAGCCTATGAAAATCACTTCAAAGCGATGTCATTTCTTGATATAAGATTTTTCAGCCTCGTTTTAAAATATAAAACAAGAAATAATGTGAATACGGAGGAAATGTTTAGTATTTTTTAACACGGAACACACTTATGTACATATATGTATCAAGTAAACTTCATGAGGTAATGTATTACGAAATAAGCAATTGTTTATGCTATAATAAATATATTAATTATTAGTAATCAATCATAATAAATATTGTAATTGTATGCATCTAAGTTTTACACCAAAATATTATTAAGTTGGTGCCCTAATTTATTCAAGTTAAGTAGGAGTATCAATCAATTTATTCAGGAATCATCTATTTTCTGTGACCACTCTTTTACATACAAAAACACAATGTAAATTACAGCGCAGTAATGTTGTTTCCTATAAGTGTACTATCTATACCTAACACTTGATGTGGTTTTAAAACTATTTGAGCTCGATAAAAATGGTTGTTACACGTAAATGTATCAGATATTTATAAAGCATCAAGTAAAATTTATTTTTATTGCGTTTGCATTGTTTGTCAAATTCCGTTTATGATATAATTATAATTTCGTGACAAAGATGCTCATGTCGGATACGACAAAAATACAATTACACCATAGCCGTTTATACTGTAATAGAACCCCCATTTAAAGTACACTAGTATCCCGTTTATACTATAATAGAACCCTGTTTAAAATAGCAGGGCTATCATGATATTAAAACCAGGAAACAAAATATGAAATCATGTTTAAAAAGAGAATTATTGGAGAATATTGAGTCTTACACTAGAGAAGACAAATTAATAAATTTCCCCTATCATGTCTATTGTTTTTCTCTCTTTTATTTCTGTGTTTAAATTGCACTGCGTGCAAAGTTAGCAGATTACAGTGTTTGTATGTATACATGTATATATATATATAATCGTAGCCTTTAATATACATGTATATATTACTGTGGCATATTTTTACTGTTTCATCTATGTGGAAACTTACTGAAATCATTTCTTCTAACAACAAAATTATACTTATGAATCTAGCTAAATATTTGAAAAAATCAATTAAAATCAAAATCACTATTCGAAGAACAAACATACTCATATACATGGCGAGCTACCACAATCTTTAAACATGTGTGGGGGAGTCATCGATTTTGTAATTAACTTATATCCGACAGATACGTTTATTCATCTATTTTTAGTACTAGGGTGTAAAAGACATGGAAATAATTAACCATGATATGTTGTTTTAGCGATAAGTTAAAACCCGGAGATAAAATGTCTTTTAAGTTCTGAACCATTTTTTGTTCGTTTCACACCTTGCTAAATACAGCCGCAAATTGCAATATGGATATGGAAAGAACAGAAAAGTGAATCAAAAACTGTTTAATAGTTATTACTAAACCTATCGTTAATTTAAATTTTCACTTTTATCTAAAAATCGCTTTTTATATTAGTTCATTGCAGCAACTTCTGTTTAATATAGTCAGTATGAAAAATCCCTTGACAATAAAGATAAGGTGATTTAGCTTCAAAACGTTTATATTATGTTTAACTACAGCGCACAAATTTAAATTACATAATTCGTATGCGAATTTGAGCTTTTTTAAAAACCTTTTATGTTCAAGTAAATTCTTTCTTCCATAATTTATCTGTGTTTTCTTTCTTACCTTTAAATAGGGAAAACGATTAATATATTGCATGTGAATATAAAGAGAATTTTAGTGCAATTTTGAAAAAATGGAAGAAAAGGAATGACCCAAATCAAAAACATAGTCTGTCACTGCGTGTGTAGCATGACAAGTGAAAATAAATGCTGTTCTAATTTTCAAAATACGTACATTTTTTGTTCAACAGCCATTCAACAATCGGAACATCTCGGTTATTATTTATATGCGAAGACTGACGAAAAGGGCAGAAAAGTTGCGATTATCTATAAACTTACGACAAAATTCATTAGATGATATAGACTTACGATAATGACCCATTTAATGATATGTTCACATCATATTGTGTCAGATTTTGATGAATCAGACATGAGTACAACAATTTATCTCCAGTTCATTGACTATAAATGCAATATGTAAATTAATACAACGATCAATTATTATATAATATTTTAAAAAGTACTTGTATTTAAATCAAGTTATGCAATACATACAATAAGGACTTATCCTTACTTGGAATGTTGAATGATTAAGCAGTCATTCAGTTCTATATACAAGTATTTATATGAAATATAAATGTAATGTAATGCTAACAGCATGCCCATGGTGCATCTTTTATCAATCTGGTTTTGGGCAAATTTTGTATCTTATCAGTTTAGCCGGCTTTTATTTCTATTCATTGAATTAAGGGAAACTCTGAAGACTAGATGTTTCATATTTCAATTTACATAAGAATGGTATGTCTAATACGTCATACATGTACGTAGACCATTGTTTTATAACACAGTGACATCACATAGATTGAAACAAAATTAATACTTCAAAATATTTCGTTGTCTTACAAAAAAAACGCATATCTATTCTTACAGTTATCTTATCTAGTTTCTTACATTTGACTATGTTTAAAGTATACGTAATACTGGTACAAATGAACACTTTAAAGACAAAAACCATTACGAGAGTCGGTCAGAATTTTTATACATCAAACTTTTATTATCGTCAAAGTCAAAATATTAAAATACTTTACATAAATATTTTTACATATCCCATTTACCCGTACAATATCATTATAATAGCAATATGCATGGACGAATTCTGCAAACATTTGGGTCTAATTATGCCTGCACAGCTTTCAAAAAGCAAATAAAAAATTGAAAAACTCCAGACTAAACATATTTAAAATACACCATGCATTTATCATCTTAAGGGGTCTTATAATACAATGAATAAAAAAGTTTTGAATTTCCCTTCGTTACAGTTTAGTTTAAATGTTTTGAATGAATAGAAATTTGTTGAATATCAAAAATTTAAACATCCAAGCTACTTCAATCTTTTCATAAATGTATGTGTAACTTAATACGACATCTCGTTTTAATAGGCAAATCCTTAAATCTTAATGAAATTCAATTTAAATATGAATATTTTACATGTCCGCCGGTAAGATTTAGTAATCTGCAGTCATCGTGCAAAATAATTGGATAAAAAGTAAATTCAATGAAGAAGAACCACAAAATTCACCTAAAATAAACATAATAGCAAAAATCTAAGTCATAGCTTAAAACGCTTTACAATGTTAAATTAATTGCATGTTTTGGATAAACTGTATAATTACATTTTTGTAAATAAAACGTAATCACATAAAGTAAAGCGCATATAAATCAAGTACGTATTTTACTTTCTATTTTGCAGAGCATGCAGGTGGCACTGCACTGATACGTTGTTCAGGAATGAAGTACAGATGCAATGTTGTGAACATTGACGGAGAAGCATAGGAAGAAAAAACGCTGATGCAAAATGGCAAATTTGCATAGAGCTCCCATGTTCTTTGTAGTCTACGTTTTATGTTTGATGTTCGCCGCCGGAAGCTCGCAGGAAAACTGCCGCGTCAGACCATCAGACAAAGATGATGTCCAGTTCCTGCGAGATTATTCGGTGATGAAAATTTTTGAAATTAGTATATACAAAGAGACAACAGATCCTCTTCAAACGGATATATCGCGAACTTATAAACCATGGAAATGGTATCGAACTACTTCTGAACATGGTAAAACACTGCTAACTCTTTCATTTAACTTTGATGTATTGTCCCTATCGATTCTGACAATAGGAGTTGAAAGAGTGAAAATTCACTTAAAAGACATACCAGAAGGATGCTTCGGAAATTTGACAGCGGAGGAAAGAGTTGACCTTTTACGAGATAAAGTGTTTGATAAGTTTAAAAGAAATAGACATAAGAAGACTGGTCCCGTTAATGAAGAGGATTTACAATCGGAAGTAGAGCAGGAACCAGAAATCATATACGTTTGTAACAATATTGTGAGAGATGAAAACGGATATGGTGAATTTGCTAACCGATGTTGTGCCAGAGATTCCGACGGAAACGTCACCTGCTCCGAACATGAAGATAATTTCTGGATAACAGTTCTATACATCTGTATTTTCCTTGTCAAACTCATGTTGTTTATGTTTGCGCCTTTAGTGGTACCAGCCAATATGTATACAGCCTCTTACGTGGCATCTGAATATGTTGTCAAGTTGACAAAAGATTTAAAAATGAAAGTGTTTGTAAGTGAGAGTAAAACAACCTCAGTGCGTTATAAGAATCGGCTTTCTGCTGAAGATTTCGCAGATTGGTATAGATTTAAGGAAAGTATTGCTGAGTTACCACTCGACACAATATGTGATGTTAAAGTACCGGAATTGAGAATCAAGGTGAAAGGAAAACGAATAATTCCAGCAAATGAGCCACCAACGGGCCTACTTAGGACAGCATATGACAATCTAATACGATGCAAAATTAGGGGTTTACAACCATTTAAGGATTGCTGTAGTGCGAGCATATATGCAAAACTGCAACCATTGATAAGGCATGAATGTACTTGGGAGGACCTAGTCCTTATTTTCATAAAAGTTGTAGTGCTTTTCCTTGTACCATTGCCTTTCTACCTTAGAACATTTATTTACTACCGGTTTGAAGAGGAAGAACTTAGTCAACGTAAAGACCTTATACATGAGCTTGGCTTTAAGCAAAGATATAACCCTTTTAGAATGAATATTGTCCAATACCTCACTCCAACACATCCACTGTTTATCTCCGCATACTCGATGTACGTCATTTCCGGAGTAGTTATTGGATTTTCCGAGGATTACATCAAAGACAAACTTAAATCTATTGTTCGTTCAGCATTTCATGACATGTCCAATGTTTCCCGTACTAATGTTCTTCAAATTGTACTTGGATTTCTGCTCTGGCCTTTCAGAAAGATCGGTCTTCTAGCTTTAATAACATGCCCAATAATCAGCGCAATTACTGCGCCATTGTGGTGCTCTGTTTTTGTACTCTACTCGGTGCCAACAATTTATCTTGCGTATAGACTCATTTATCACTCCAAAAAGAAACTTGGTAGTGATAGCAGTTTCTTTGAGTCCGACAAACCATTTGGAAAAGCTAAACAGAAAGTATACAAAGTACATAAAAAGTTAGCTAAAATTGACAAAAATGTTCATATAAAGAGGGCAGCGTTTCCTGATGAGGAAAAACATAGTCCATGCATTACAGGGTACGGCAGGGTGTCTGCTTTAAGGAGATTACTTGTGCAAATTATTGTCAGCATATTCTGTCTCGTTGTTCTAACAGCGTCAGTGTTATTGTTTGTGGAAGCATGTGGTGTTATTGTAGAAGTGTTAGTATTTACCATGATGGGTATAATAGTGAATGCAGGAGCAACGTTACGTTACGTTAGTATGGTCCTTCTTGTCATCGTCTATATGCACAGCTGCTATGACAATGTGTATGATAACTATTTACAATTTAATGCGACGATAATCGACGATGTGATGGATAGGGTAGAAGACCTGAAGAAAATTGCTAGTTTGCCTTCCAGTATGCAAGAAAATGCGGCATTTCAGGTAAAATCCAACATTGTGTCACCCTTTTGTTAATTCTGTTTTGTTTGAAATATAATATTTTCTTTTCAAAGGAGACGATTACAGAAACATCAACTTAATACTTTTAAATTAACATTTGCAAAAGTTTTCGGAGGCCTTGTCCAAAACATCTTAAACAAAAAAGACTCGATTATTGATTACTGTTAGACATTGTTGTCAATAAATTTATATTTTGTTTTGCATGCAATTTACCTTCTAGTATTTGATATTTCAAATTATGATATTATTCCAGGTGAAACCTGTTGAAGCAGTCGATGAGATTCCAACCAGTTTAAACCTAGAGAAGAAGGAGGCTCAATGGCGCATTGGGCATTTACTCTTGTTCTTTGACTCGTTTGATACACCGAGAATTCCATTAAATTTATTCAAAAGACTTTGCGAAGTAAGAGTTCATGGGGCACCCGGACCGGTTTATATTAACCTATTGAAAGCTACCGGAAAGTTTTCAATAATTGTAGTTTTCCTCTTTTTTGTCATGATTGTTGTTATGGCCTTTGGTAGTGCTGGACAGATGTCGTCAACTAATCAAACACTGGCAACTCTGGCCGGCGGATTTGTTCCTATGTTGCTTAAAAACGTTTTATCTTCTAAAGGTGTAAAACTTAATCTAAAGACCCTTAGTTTTAAAGGGCAGATAGATGAAATTGTGTCAGAGTATAAACAAAACTGGCCGATATACGACCTTATTTTAAAACAATATGATCCAAAAGCTGAAGAAGAGGAGGAAAAGGAAAAAGAAGAAAGTAAAGATAAAGACGAAAAGGGTAAGACTGAAAATAATGAAAAGACAGCAGATGATGAAAAGGAAAACGAAAAGCAGAATAAAGAAGAGCCAGAGAAGAATCTGGACACGCCTGCCATGTCAAGATCTGGATCAACACTAGCGCTTAATGCGGCAAATGGAGGCGGTATGTTAAAACCACCTGATCCGTTTCATGATAGTACGGAAGATCTACGTCCAATCGGAGCAACTAAGAAAGGACCGGAATGGTTCCGACGTTTATCTGTTTGCCCTCAAGAAGACAATCTTGTTGATTTATTCATTGACATGAGTGAAGTAGAAGAAAACTCGCCTTGGCACTGGATGTATGGTTCCAGTGAATCATTAGGCGAGTCAATAACGATGATGAATGAATTGGGAGATACAGATGAAGATAAACGTATGCCATATAATCAGAAGCTAAATAACCATATAAACAATAATGTTGAGGCTGTCTGAAAAAAGAGTTATAACATAAATGAGATTTCTGTGTAAATATGATTCATAGAAGAATCTTGCAAACAATATTAGCTTTTCGTATTAAGAATATACACATGTAAGTTAATCAAGTATTAACACTTTTGATTGCTTCATATTTTATAAGCCTTGTTGCTAAAAAAATCTCATAATATATCATAAAGAAATTATGACTTTTTAACAAATTTACGAGTTCATGCTTTAATGCGTTAAATATGTTTTGCTCGTTTCTTTTCTTTCTGTTTTAAATAAAACCTATAGAATGTATTTATTATTTCGTTTGTATAAATTGCATCCTATAAGGTCATTAGCAAATGGACATGGATAGACCCATATTGAATTAAAGGAGTTATGATTGGTCAATCAAGTTTTGTAAATTATCAATCCCTTTACTAATTTTGGACTATGTAAATAACACGAGTGCATTCTTGTATCTATTAGCCCGGTCAAGTTACTTTGAATACACTGACCAGTGTCGTTAGAAGCGCCGATACTGATATGACCAGTGTGATTTCAAACAGTTGTTATCAGTGGTTGTGTCTTCACAATGAACGTGTCAAGTATGTCGTGATTAGATTAGACCTCATTTATAACGTTTAGACACTTGAGTGGTTACTTAGTGACAATTGTTAACTTAACTTAGATATATGATCCAAAAATCATTTGCAATATTTAATGTTTGTACAAGATGACGGGTTTGTGTGACAGACGATGAAATGATGTCGCAAATAGTTTTAACAGACATTATGCCTATTTGTAGATACCTGCTGGGTTTATAAATTGGCGGGGTAGAATAAAAGATACGTATGTAGATAACGATGAATGACTTTTGAATAAGTGGCCTATTTCAATGAGAATACGTTACTTATGTGTCAACGGGATGCTTCAAAAACATATTTTTCAAATGTTATCTCTATCTTATCGTGGTCCTGACATAAATTAAAATAATGTTGAAGTTAAGTGAATGAATGTTATAAAACCCACGCATTTTAATGAGATTTTTATTCTAAATTTTCGTTTTAAAAAATCGAAGTTCTAAATTTTGAAATGTGCCTTATGTTTGCTAAGGATGGGACTGTTGAAGTGTATCTCTGTTTACATTTATACTAAATTGAGTGTTATATCGCTTTATATGTTTACCTACATCATTTTCAAATTTTCTTAATAGCTGTATTAAATGTACCGTTTAACACATTGTTTAATTATATATGTGTAAAAGAAATACGCCCAAAAAGATTGAAATGAAGTACGCATTGAAAGCAATAAAATGGGTGATGTCGCGCTAAATATTTTAAATGGACCCGTCCATTTTTCTATCAAGATGAAAACGTTCATCATTCATTTTTAGGGATTTTTATTTTAATGTATACCGACCGAATAGTGAACGTTGAAGACCATGATCAAGCCGCACGACTGATCTTTATCTGCATTGGTAGACTGTAACTTCGAGCACGTCAAACGTGAACCCTTTAAAATAGCAACATTAAATTTATGCTGCATCAAGCGGCATATCTCCTGCCGGAAAATATATTGCAGCGTTTCATCACTTCCGTTTGGTTTTGATTGAAAATAAAATAAATGCATGTCATAATACATTGAGGTAGATTTTTGCTACGTTTGCCTTACACATGTATCTTCTGAGTTGTTGACTTTCGAGCAAAAGCATCATACCCGCTTACCTATTAAGATAAATGATAACACCATGTGTGATTCAATAAAAGGCAAAAACAGCGTAAATAACCGGCACAATACACAGATATGCCACTGTGCGGATCACAAGGTTCAAGCGGATTTGAAGTCAAGAAGCACTACAAATTTTACAGGGTGAAATACTAGATACATGCTTGCAATAATAAAAGGTTTAGCAAGGGTTTCATCCATCTTGAGAACAGGAAACTCACCAATTGACCTGTATTTTGTCAATTTGACTAGAAACTCAAATATCATTTAACATAGCCCCTGTCATTTCAATGTCTTAAGGAAGTAAAATATTTTCAATATACAAAATAACGACCTCCATCTTATCATACTTTTTTTATCAAATTAAATTTATTATATGAAGTTTGAGGCATAAAGATGATCTTTGTCAATACAATTAAACGTAACTGCAGAGTTAATATAGGAAAGATGTCTACCTTATTTTTAAAACTATTCTAAGGGCTATCATAAATAAACAGTAATTCAGACATTTGAGCCCCGTCACGACAAAACCAACATAATGCGTTTGCGACCAGCATGGATCCAGACCAGCCTGCGCATCAGTTTCTCTAGTTGTAATAGGGTTGGTAAGCGAACAGCATGGATCCTAATCAAACTGCGCGGATGCGCAGGCTGGTCTGGATTCATGCTGGTTGCAAATGCGTTATGTGATTTTGTTATGACGCGGCTCATTTAATTAAATTTGGTATGGAAAACAGACTGATCTATGACAGATGCATGTAATGCGTGATTCACTGCAGTGATATCTAATTGTTAAATTCCAAGTGCACTATAATACAATAACTATTAACAACAATAGAATATTTCTGTGGTTTGCTTTTATTTCATAAATACATACAAAAACAGAGTACAAAAATAACAACCATATCAGCAGAATAATTCCAAATTATTTATAAATAAATACAAATATTTGTGTTCTCTAAAAAAGTATTTCATTTTAACTCTAGCAAATTAATTAATCTATGATAACTTCATAGCCATTCTTGATGATGAAGAAGATAGCAAAAAGCCCTGATAATATTTATTCAGAATAAAATTTCATATAATCTTTCATTTCAACAAAATATAAATGCCTGTAAATATGTTTTTTCTCCTAATATTAAATTCTACAAAGCTGTATAATACATTCATCAAAAATCTTATTGATTATGTAAATGATTTATTACAACAATGGGTACTATCTAAATACTGAAAACATTCAGATTATTTATCAAGTTACAAGTGCCTTGAATGGCAAAAATGTCAAACAGAACAAAATGTTCTAGGTCATAGTAATAGGCTGCTATTTCATTTAAGTATGGCTTTGACTTTTGTTTTCATGAATTATATTAACATATTTCTCACATATTTCATACAGTCATTTTGGAATTATTTTTTTCATATTTCAAACAAATTTGTTTTTTCATATTTGAAACCATTTTTTTTCACATTTCAAACAATTTTTTTTTTCATATTTCAAACAATTTTTTTTCATATTTCAAACAATTTACTTGTACACTTCATGCAGAAGAGATAAAGTTTAAAACGCTTAAAATAAAGATATAGATCTATGCAAGTAACAAATTGTGCCTTGTGCCATTATTTCAATTGTATTGCAACCTCATAATAATTATTTTGAAAATGCAAAACAGGTTTTAAATTTAACATACTTTCAAAATTTATTCTTTCCTAAAAATAGGTAAGCAAATCAAACAAAATTAAACTGAAAATATATGAAAGTGCAGTCTTTAACAACTTGGTGTCATGTATCACATACATTTATCATTAACATGTGAACAGTAAATATGTGACAATGTAAATAAATGAAAATTATTAAAAAAAATATGTGGTCAATAATCTATGTATAAATATGAAATGTAAGAAAAGTATGTAAACTTTTATTAACTAAAGAATCAAGGTTAAGTTTTGAAATTAAATGACTGCTAGAAAATTCATTTGATGTCAGCAACTTTAAAATGCTTGGCAAGAGACACCATTAATGTGTGAAACAAAGCCCGTGATAATGAAACAATGGTTTATCTTTTTAGTCATTTTTAGTAATAAATTTTTATGCTCAAATTTGATATTTGAAAATATTGATAATTACCAAAATCTAGTAAGAAAAGACACAGTTTACTTGAACTATAAAAAGGAATGCAGATACCCATACATGGTTTGTACGTTTTTTTTTATTTAAATCAGACATATTTTCTAGTAGAAGAATTTTTGAACTTTTGAAAAATTTCTGAAAAAAAAATATTTTACTCAAAGATACTAAGTAATTTAATCTTTAAAAAAGAAAGCAAATACCTTCCTATATTGGCAAAAAAAAAATGAATTACTTTACTAGCTATCACCTGTTTAATATCAACCTGTATAAAAGAACATTTTAACATATGTAAGTACCAAACTACCCCAGCCATTTCCACCAAATGTTCACTTTCAAGAAAAATGCTATCCATAGTTACTCAACTAATCAACTTTACTTTTTCACAATATTATCAAATAAATTACAGAAAAACAGTAAAATTTGTCCATGACCAACATGCAGTGATACACATCATATAACATCTTAACCATAAAACCCAGGGTTTCATTGGTAAGAATAAAATTCTATTAGATTGACCACCTTCAATTAAAGAAATAACAAGTGACAATAATAAAATTATGTAAACAAGGAATGTTTCAATATGTGAATGTAAATATACTGTGTTATATCACAAAGGAAACACAACTAATAAGCAATGTAATTTAAACCTTACTGACACAAGAAGGAATTTAAAATGAACCTGGGATCAATTTAGTGTGAAGATAATTGTGTGAAAAAATAATAAAAATTCAAAATAAATAAAATTATTAAGAAGATATTTAAGTTGTAATTGGTTCTATATGACCTTCAAGATTTTATAATGTTTCTGTACCGAATCGCTTTTATAATGGTTGCGGTTTTTAGAGGGACCTTTGTATTTTTTCTTACGCTATAAGATATTTGACACCGCAAGTATTCCCGCAAATATTTTGGAACCAGAAAGTCTTTCCCTGTTTTCCCCTATTTGATTATGCATGACATGACACACTATGTTAAACATTTGCAGGACGCACTGTGCATGTTTATATATAAAGGCATAATAGTTGCTTACGAAGTTGATAAGATTAAAAACAACAAAAACAGAACTTTATTAGTCTTGTCATTTCTCTGTTATTTGACTGGCACATCCGTGGCAGTACAGTTTCTGTATATATCATGAAATAAAGAGAAAAAAATGATAAAGGTCTTGAAAAGTTAAGAGTGTAAAATGAGTACTTATTTTGTACTTGTTCTTGGTTTTATTGCAATACAGGTCTTAAACTTATTAAGTTTGAATCATTGGCCTTTGTTTCAGAAATAATTGTATAACATGCCTTTTGGTCCCCCTGATTTGAATTCACAATATATATTTGGATATTAGTCAGGAGGATTAATTACTAGGTCTGTGGTAATCTAAAGAAAGAAAGTTATTTCATTTAAAAGTATGTCTATGGCATTACAAGAAAAAAAATCCATTTATTTAACCATACAATGCATCTAGTGTTTTAAATTACAATTAAAAACTAAACATACATGTATAGGGAACAGAATCAGTGTAAATGCTCAAATCAACTGAGGTAATATAAGTGACAAAATTATATATATAAATATAGAAACAAAACAAATAACATTAAAATTAACAATGTTAGAACAAAAACACTACAAAATATTAGATGGTTAAAGCTCTAAAATAGTTTGGCACCATGGTTATACACATGAATATAACTACAAACACAAAGAAAACATTGTATATATAAGTATATAAACAGCACAAATATATATTATCACAATCTGTAAGTAAAATCTTCCTTTAAATTAAGGCAACAATGTGGAATGTTGTATTTAAATAATTCATCAATTCCTGCATGAAAATATTTACAACTTTTCAAGTATTTGTGTTTGGCAAAATAATGATGGATATAATACTTACATAAAGAAATACACTTGTACAAGATATTGGAGATACTCTGGTACAAATGTATATTACTTAATCCTGTATCATGCTTTATTTATTTAACTTTTAATATTCTTTACTAATGAACAAGTTAATACAGTTATTCAATCTTTTAAGGTATTATGGCTAAAAATTCATTTCAAACACCAAAATAACAAATACAATTATAACATCATTTAGACCAATTGCTGGAAATATTTCTCCTACATCATTTTCCTTTCTTACAAGTATAATCATGTTCAGACAAAGATAGAAATATTTAAGAAGTCTAGAAGAAAAAAAAATCTAGTGCTTTTTAACAATGTATATTTTAGAATTAATAATTACATTTTAACAAAGTGCAATAAATAAAAATAAGTGAAGATTATACTTGGCTTATTGGATATTGAAAATGTAAATAACGAATAAATAACACTATCAAACAAATTTTAAAAAAATAAATGCATTTTTGTCACCTGAAGCCTACAATAACTGATTATTAGCCAACCATTCAATAAATTTTACTGCAAAATAAAAGTGGAATGTTTTATCAAGTTTAATTGTTGGTCCCATTGAAAGTTTTTGTACTCTTGTTCAAAACTTTATTATTTGATACTGATTTACATACATTCCAGGTAGAGAATCAAAAAATTAATTTGTTTGTTTGTTTGGGTTTAACGGCAAACCAACACATTACTGGCCATACCGAATTACTGTGCGGTGCCAAACGCTGTAATTATTAACATAAGATTATTAAAACTATTATCAGGGGCATATACCATGCCAGGAATTAGTCAAATAAAAATGGCACATTAATGTTATCATGTAATTGTAAAAAAACAACAGAACATTTATCTAAGTATGTACTAACAGTCTAGACAAAATATGGTATATTGATATATAAGAACTAGTGTTTACTATACTAAATAAAACAACTGGACGGTGTGACATAATGAGTATGATGTTTTAAGTATTGTACATATAAATATGATATGTCAAATATATAATTATAACTACCCTTTTATAGATGGCTACATGGTAGCATTTTAATACAGTAATATTAAATATGATTACTGACAATAATAAGCCCTTACATGAATAAACACATTTACTGTATAAAAAACTGTTAAATTTTAACTTCCATCTGTTCCATTAATATTCGGGACTGGAACATAACTAAACTATCATATTCAATTTGTAAAAGGGACTTTCCCTGCTTTGTATTGGGGACTGTCTAATTCTAAGGGGTTTCCATACCAAATAGCTGGTATTGAAAAAATTGAGCGGCACATGGTATAATGTTTAATAAGATTGCAAATGAAAAATATTCTCATTACCTAGGAAAGTTCCAGGAACAGATTCAAGAGTGTGTCTATAAGCTTATAGCTTCTTATACAATCAAATAAAAGAAATTCTGTATAAACCAAATATAAAACATAGAATAAACATCATTTCGTCTCTCTCTACAAACAAATTTGTATATCCATTTATAGCAGATAAAGTTAAAGTAAATATGATGGGCCTTCTGTAACCAGACATCCATGACCATACCAAATGTAATTTATCATATTGTACAAAATATTAATTTGATGGTGTTTATTTTCAAATTTACATTGTATACTTTGTGTTATTCTTTTGTGTATCTTAATTATCAACATAGTCTTGTCAAATCTATCTGTAATTTCAGACAGACAATTTTTTGTGAAAAGGTTATCTGGTATTATATTATAATTATACCTTCTATTTGATAAAAAAGTTACGTTACTTCATGGTACATAGGAATATCAAATTGCCTTTTTTTGTAAAAAATAATTTCAACTTGTAGTGAATTAAAATTGTAAAAGCAAAAAATGCAATGTATACAATTTCACATCAGCTACCATTAATCAAAGCTATTTACTACAAATGTTTAAGAAAAATTAAATTAATCATTTTATAAAAGCCCTTTTAGCCAGTCTGGTAATTGGATAGCAATTTAAAGGAATCTGAAGTAGATTACTTTTTCTTCACATATGAACTAAGCTACATAAAACGTAAGTGTAAAATTTCACTTACATCTATAGAAATACATTTTGTTCTCTTTACAAAAACATTGTGAAAACTATAAATTTGCACATTGGTATTTAAATCACTAACTACAATCTCTGTTGGATGATGTATGTGGCAAGTTTTTGGCTATTTTAGCTAGAGAACTACAATATGAGCCGTGTCATGACAAAACCAACATAGTGCGGTTGTGACCAGCATGGATCCTGACCAGCCTGCGCATCCGCACAGTCTGATCAGGATCCATGCTGTTCGCTTTCAGTTTCTCTACTTGTTATAGATTTTGGTAAGCGAACAGCATGGATCCTGATCAGCCTGCGCAGATGCGCAGGCTGGTCTGGATCCATGCTGGTCGCAAATGCATTATGTTGGTTTTGTCGTGACACAGCTCATATATTTTAGCTACAATTCAAGCTGCACAGTCTGGTATCAGGTGTATGCACACACTATCCACCTTGTACATTGTTATAAAACTATACTAGTCCCACTGGCTGTTTTAATATTTGTCAGTCTTGTTTCAGGACAAATTATTTTGTTGGTTACTTTGAGTTTAAGGAATGGCAAACTAGAATTATTGTTGATCTCTTATGCACTGTACATAGAACATAAGGTGAAATATATATGGCATAATTGAAAATTAATCTATATTATTCTAAGCTAAGGTTTTAGCAATGTTCTTACATTATGTGTTTAAATTTGCAAATAATTTTATTTAGATATACAAAGTTAATTGATTATACATCATTATTTTAAGTTAACTCAGTAGGGTTTAACTTAATCATAATAGAGGACTTATCATTTAGCATGTTTTCTTTCCCTGCTAATTTTATTTTAAAGATTGTTCTGTATATTTAATCTTGAATACTTTTCAGTTATTTTCATAAAATTAAAGTACACTTTTTGCATTGCTAACGTATAGAGTGTATGTAGGTTACATAAATGTGTATACTGGCCATGACTTTATACTAGTTATACAGGCCTTCCATTTCTATAGCTTCATGTTACAATTACATAAACCAAACATTAACCTGAATCAGTTATTTTCATCTGTTTATCCTTCTTTGTGTTCTTCCTGAAAAGAATCCTTCAAGCAATCCCAATATAAATGCAGCTTGAAAAATTATTTTGACTACATTTACGCAAATATTTCATAGCCATCTCTTCATAAAAATCCTGTAACAGATACCTCACAATTCACCTACTTAACTTTAATCTCTTCTATCAGCATAGTTATAACAAGACTAGTTGTTACATTTCACATTGAGCACCAGTTCTTAGATAACACATATATTACATGTAGTAGTGATCAAGTCAATCCAAAGTTGTAGGTAAATGCCAGTTCTAACAGCGACTGTGGTACACCATCTTCTAAACATACAAACATTTCATGACCATCAGGAAATCTCCGTCTGAAAGTTCAAAGTAATATGAAATCTAATTACTTACAAAACAATTAAAAAATTCAACTTTCATTTTGGAGGACTCTCATTTATGTTAACTAAGCAACTTTTAATTTTCCTGGTACACAGGAGAATTTCCTAGTTCAAAATCTGAAAGTTAAATCTATACATTTTTTGAGAAGAATATCTATCACTGAAAGATAAAACTATTTCAATTTTTATTTCTACTATACACACTGTCTTCATACATTCTATATATATGTATGTGAATTTTAGTTGAGTTATTTTGGTGGGTACTTTTTGATGATTTTTCAGGAGAAAAATGAAATTCACAATCAGACCAAGACATGTGCCCTACCTATCTAGATCTTACTTACTTTAATTATAATATTTGCACCTTTCCATTAAAGTTAGTAATATGGGTTTTTTTACAGAAAATAAATATTGATGTATAAAAACGGATAGTTAAGAAGCAAAGAATTTTTGGTTTGTTTTAGGTTTTACTCACATCGACACAGTATAGGTAATATCGCGACGCTCCAGCTTTACTGGTGGAGGAAGACCACAGGTGTCCTTCTGTGCATTATTTCAGGCAGGAACGAGCACCTGAGTAGAACCGCAGACGTTCCCTCAGCTAGCTGGATAGCTTCCTCACATGAAAGAATCCAAAGTCCCTGTCGGGATTCGAACCCACAGCGGTGAGGGGCAAGTGGTTTGAAGTCATCAACCTTAACCACTCGGCCACGGACGCCCCAAGTAGCAAAGAAAAACAAAATGGCAAACATCATTTACTCACCCTATGACCCAATACATAATCAATGGTGGTTGTTTCTTAGGATCTGGGGATGCAGGTAGCTGACTAGTAAACATTACACCTTCTTCTAAACTACACACTGGAAACATATTCTCTTCTGATACCTACATAAACAACAAATAAATGTTCAATAATGTATACATACATGTAATACAATACTTTTACAATGGTAAAGTTAACTACTCATATCTGCTATCAACTTCTGATATCTTCTCCTTTTTTAACATTTGCATTGTTGTGGTCAGCAATAAATAAATTCTTTAAAGGCTCATTAAGAGTTGAAATACATTTATTTTCATTTCTCAAAAGCATTTTATTTTTGATGGTCTCTTTCAGTTTCCAAAACAAACACATGTTACTGTCTTCTGATTGTTGGCTATTAGAAAAGTTATAGTTTTTGTATTTTGTAAGCAATACATTGTCAGGAGAAATGTCTGCCTTGATGTTATTTAATCTAAGGAAAGATTCAGTAATAGTACTGGAACCAATTTCCAAGATATGGAGGCTGGGCAGCACCGCCTGACATAAAATTGAAATATTCTCAGTATGAAAACTAGCATGTAATTGTTTAGTTAACACTATTTTTTTAGGTTTTTTTATCTTTTTCTGTCTCAAATCAATATATACATTTAAACAACAACCTCTGACTATTATTTACACCCAAAACACAGAACTCTGATCATTATTTACACCCAAAACAAACACACATCATTTATCAGCCACTTATACGAAATATCTTTTCACGTATACGTCTTTTATACGAAACAATACTAGACACCTGGCGAGCCCAAGCTCTAAACAACTTATGATCAAACAAAACAATAAAATCACCACAAAATGAAGAACACAAAAATGAATATTTTTACAACTCTAAGATACAGTATAAACCACAAACATTCATCCAACAATATTAACTTCACACAATCTAATCAGCATCAGAAAAGCAAACTAAAGCACCCAATATTTACATATATCCTCAAAACAAAGCATCAACTAATATAATCTTGATCAGACAAACATTCAACCAATATCAACCAATTATATCTTCACAAACAGATATAACTCAACAACCAAAACAACTAATTACAACCAATAAACCCTGATCAATTAAGATCACCACAATTATATTCAACCAACTTCAACAAAACAAAATCCCTTCAAAACAACAAAATTCTCTTCTCAATAAAAAAATAACCGCTACACACTATCAGCGTGTCTCTCCTAACTGATGTAAAATCTCTCTCAAAACGCGCATATTTGCTAGCTTAAACGATCTGACCTTTAAACATGTATACATACAGCGACTGGTTTAAACATGATATTTACACTCTATTGAAAACAATGTATCACTGTAAAAAAAATATTAACTCGTTGTTTCATCTACAACAATATATCACTGTAGGGAAATATTAACTCGTTGTAAGATACATATCTACATATAAACTTCATGATTATTCTGACATATATCTCATAAGCATCATATGAGAAATGTTTACATTTCATACTTCAAATAACTGCAGCTATTCATACTTCATAATAGTAATATATTGATCAAATTAGCATCATAACATTGACAATTTTAAGTATGTGAAATAAATATATATGAAAAGTTATATAAGTTCTAAACCTGATATACGGAAGTCGAAGGGTAGTAGGTCTTTTAACCAAAATACTAACAAACAAAGCTACATACCTTTTTCTTAACAGTCTTTTCAAAAGATTCATGTATCCTCAAGCATCCACCATAAAAGTTAAACAATAAATGTTGATGTGTTGAACCTTGTGTGGAGGCAAGATCATATGGTGTTGGACTCATGTAAACACACTCAAACTGGTCAAAATTTACATAGTGAAACAGCTGATTACCTAATCCTCTAGTCCATCTAAAATAAGAATCATTTAAACATATATGATATGTTTATAGACTCATTAGACATGTACATACAATGTGTTGACAAACATATGTAATGCATTTAGAGACATATATGATGTGTTTTGAGACATATATGATGTGTTAACAGACATTTACAGTGTGTAAACAATGTGAAAACAGACATAGTATGATGTGTTAACAGACATTTACAGTGTGTAAACAATGTGAAAACAGACATAGTATGATGTGTTTTGAGATATATACTTGCCATTTTGGGACATGTATGATGTGTGTAATGACATAAACAATGTGTTAACAGACATTATATGAAGTGTTTACAGACATATATGGTGTGTTTACAGACATTTTTTTTTTAAAACAATAATTCCACTCTTAACTTGTTAAAAAATCACCAAACTTGACCACTTTCAGAGTCTTGTTAAGATCAAATAACCATTCATATCTAATTCATAATTTCTTTGACAGTGACAAGACCCAGTATAAATGGTTGAAAGCTTATTGTTAGGCAAGGATTATGCATCAATCAAATGTTTAACTCATTATAACTAAATAATACTGAACAATGGTTCCTTTGATGAATACAGAAATTAATTGATAATTATATGAAGCAGTCTTGATGACTAAATAGTTCATACAAACATTGTCATTATTATCATCTGACATTTGACATCTGCAACTCTGCATTATAGTTGTAAAATTTGTGCCAAGCTATATTAAAATCCTTCCATATGTGTAGAAGCATTTGCCCTAGGGACTTGTTTTAAACGCATGTGACAATATGTCTCAAGTAATACTGGAATGCCAGTGGCAATCCCATTATAAGACCCATTTTTTTCAAATGAGTTTATAAAAACAAGAGGGCCATGATGGCCCTGAGGTCGCTCACCTGTATATAGGCCCCCTAACCCGCACCCCCGCCCCCCCCCCCCCCCAATGTTGCAGGGCCAATTTAACCAAGGGCTTTTATTTGCAAACTCGGTAGACACCCATAAGAAGATGTTTCATGCTAAACATCTAAGCTCTAGCTCATTGGGCTTTATTGAAAGAAGATTTTTTTTTAGTTTTTACTATACACATATAGTTAAAAACAATGACACCCCTGGGGCCAGGCCAGTTTTGACCCCAGGGCTTTTATTTGAACAAACTTTGTAGACATTTACTAGAAGATGTTTCATGCTTAATATCTAAACTCTAGCTATTTGGGTTTTTTCAAAGAAGATTTTTAAGTTTTTGCTATACACATAAAAAGAAAATCAATGACCCCCGGGGCCGGCCAATTTTGACCCCAGGCCTTTTATTTGAACAAACTTTGTAGACACTCACTAAAAGATGTTTCATGCTTAATATCTTAACTCTAGCTATTTGGGTTTTTTCAGTTCTAGCTCTTTTAGTTCTTTAAAAGAAGATTTCTTAAGTTTTTACTATATGCATATAGGGAAAATCAATGACCCCCCAGGGCGGGGCCAATTTTGACCCCAGGGCTTTTATTTGAACAAACTTATTAGAACATGTTTCATGCTAAAAATCTAAGCTCTAGCTCTTTGGGTTCTTTAAAAGAAGATTTTTTTAAGTTGTTACTATATGCATATAGGGAAAATCAATGACCCCCGGGGGCGGGGCCAATTTTGACCCCAGGGCTTTTATTTGAACAAACTTGGTAGACACTTATTAGAACATGTTTCATGCTAAATATCTTAGCTTTAACTCTTTTGGTTCTTTAAAAGAAGATTTTTTAAGTTTTTACTATATGCATATAGGGTAAATCAAAGACCCCCCTGGGGCGGGGCCAATTTTGACCCCAGGGCTTTTATTTGAACAAACTTGGTAGACATTCACTAGAAGATGTTTCATGCCAAATATCTAAGCTCTAGCTTTTACAGTTCTTTAAAAGCAGATTTTTTAAGTTTTTACTATATGCATATAGGGAAAATCAATGACCCCCCGACCCGGGGCCAATTTTGACCCCAAGGCTTTTATTTGAACAAACTTGGTAGACACTCACTAGAAGATGTTTCATGCCAAATATCTTAGCTCTAGCTCTTTGGGTTCTTTAAAAGAAGATTTTTTAAGTTTTTACTATATGCATATAGGGAAAATCAATGACATAGATACATAGATCCTTTTTTACTTCCTGACTTTATCTGTAACTTTAGAGGCAAATAATCATGATACAATGAAATACATATAACACATGATAAAAAATAAAACATTAAATACAGAAATAAAAGTATAATTGTTCAAACTATCATTTGGAAAGACACCCCTGGGGCAGGGCCAGTTTTGACCCCCGGGCTTTAATTTGAACAAACTTTGTAGATATTTACTTAAAGATGTTTCATGTATAATATCTAAACTCAAGCTATTTGGGTTTATTCAAAGAAGATTTTTAAGTTTTTGCTATACACATATAAGGAAAATCAATGACACCCGGGGCGGGGCCAGTTTTGACCCCAGGGCTTTTATTTGCACATACTTGGTAGACACCCATTAGAACATGTTTCATGCTAAATATCTTAGCTCTAGCTCTTTGAGTTCTTTAAAAGAAGATTTTTTAAGTTTTTACTATATGCATATAGGGAAAATCAATGACCCCCTGGGGCGGGGCCAATTTTGACCCCAGGGCTTTTATTTGAACAAACTTGGTAGACACTCATTAGAAGATGTTTCATGCTAAATATCTTAGCTCTAGCTCTTTGGGTTCTTTAAAAGAAGATTTTTTAAGTTTTTACTATATGCATATAGGGAAAATCTATGACCCCCTGGGGCGGGGATCAATTTTGACCCCAGGGCTTTTATTTGAACAAACTTGGTAGACATTCACTAGAAGATGTTTCATGCCAAATATCTAAGCTCTAGCTCTTTGGGTTCTTTAAAAGAAGATTTTTTAAGTTTTTACTATATGCATATAGGGAAAATCAATGACCCCCCGGGGCGGGGCCAGTTTTGACCCCAGGGCTTTTATTTGAACAAACTTGGTAGACACTCACTAGAAGATATTTCATGTCAAATATCTTAGCTCTAGCTCTTTTTGTTCTTTAAAAGAAGATTTTTTAAGTTTTTACTATATGCATATAGGGAAAATCTATGACCCCCTGAGGCAGGGCCAATTTTGACCTCAGGGCTTTTATTTGAACAAACTTGGTAGACACTCATTAAAAGATGTTTCATGCTAAATATCTTAGCTCTAGCTCTTTGGGTTCTTTAAAAGAAGATTTTTTAAGTTTTTACTATATGCATATAGGGAAAATCAATGACCCCCTGGGGCAGGGCCAATTTTGACCCCAGGGCTTTTATTTGAACAAACTTGGTAGACATTCACTAGAAGATGTTTCATGCCAAATATCTAAGCTCTAGCTTTTACAGTTCTTTAAAAGCAGATTTTTTAAGTTTTTACTATATGCATATAGGGAAAATCAATGACCCCCCGACCCGGGGCCAATTTTGACCCCAAGGCTTTTATTTGAACAAACTTGGTAGACACTCACTAGAAGATGTTTCATGCCAAATATCTTAGCTCTAGCTCTTTGGGTTCTTTAAAAGAAGATTTTTTAAGTTTTACTATATGCATATAGGGAAAATCAATGACATAGATACATAGATCCTTTTTTACTTCCTGACTTTATCTGTAACTTTAGAGGCAAATAATCATGATACAATGAAATACATATAACACATGATAAAAAATAAAAACATTAAATACAGAAATAAAAGTATAATTGTTCAAACTATCATTTGGAAAGACACCCCTGGGGCAGGGCCAGTTTTGACCCCCGGGCTTTAATTTGAACAAACTTTGTAGATATTTACTTAAAGATGTTTCATGTATAATATCTAAACTCAAGCTATTTGGGTTTATTCAAAGAAGATTTTTTAAGTTTTTGCTATACACATATAAGGAAAATCAATGACACCCGGGGCGGGGCCAGTTTTTGACCCAGGGCTTTATTTGCACATACTTGGTAGACACCCATTAGAACATGTTTCATGCTAAATATCTTAGCTCTAGCTCTTTGAGTTCTTTAAAAGAAGATTTTTTAAGTTTTTACTATATGCATATAGGGAAAATCAATGACCCCCTGGGGCGGGGCCAATTTTGACCCCAGGGCTTTTATTTGAACAAACTTGGTAGACACTCATTAGAAGATGTTTCATGCTAAATTTCTTAGCTCTAGCTCTTTGGGTTCTTTAAAAGAAGATTTTTTAAGTTTTTACTATATGCATATAGGGAAAATCTATGACCCCCTGGGGCGGGGCCAATTTTGACCCCAGGGCTTTTATTTGAACAAACTTGGTAGACATTCACTAGAAGATGTTTCATGCCAAATATCTAAGCTCTAGCTCTTACGGTTCTTTAAAAGAAGATTTTTTAAGTTTTTACTATATGCATATAGGGAAAATCAATGACCCCCCGGGGCGGGGCCAGTTTTGACCCCAGGGCTTTTATTTGAACAAACTTGGTAGACACTCACTAGAATATATTTCATGTCAAATATCTTAGCTCTAGCTCTTTTTGTTTTTTAAAAGAAGATTTTTTAAGTTTTTACTATATGCATATAGGGAAAATCTATGACCCCCTGAGGCAGGGCCAATTTTGACCTCAGGGCTTTTATTTGAACAAACTTGGTAGACACTCATTAAAAGATGTTTCATGCTAAATATCTTAGCTCTAGCTCTTTGGGTTCTTTAAAAGAAGATTTTTTAAGTTTTTACTATATGCATATAGGGAAAATCAATGACCTCCTGGGGCAGGGCCAATTTTGATCCCAGGGCTTTTATTTGAACAAACTTGGTAGACATTCACTAGAAGATGTTTCATGCCAAATATCTAAGCTCTAGCTTTTACAGTTCTTTAAAAGCAGATTTTTTAAGTTTTTACTATATGCATATAGGGAAAATCAATGACCCCCCGACCCGGGGCCAATTTTGACCCCAAGTCTTTTATTTGAACAAACTTGGTAGACACTCACTAGAAGATGTTTCATG